TGGGTGATAAATGTAAAAAATCTTGAATAAATATTTTAAATAAAATAAAATAAAATTACAAATGTAGATTACAAAACTGCTGCATTAGTGCATCAGATTGAATGGGAACCGTTTCATGTGGGAGATATGTTTGAGTGCACCCGCTTGCCACATGGAGCCTCAGATATTTTCTGTGCTTTCACAAACCTGCAGGAGGGAAGTTTGCAGAGCTGTGGGGAAGATCAGAAATTTCAAGTGGTGATTATGGCTATGTACACATTTGCACATTTGTGGTGAGAAAAGGTAGTTGTTTTTTTTATCAAGACACAATTGTTCATGCTTTTCCTCAGTGTGCTGCTTTTGATCAAGGTTTGGTTCCAGATCCTGCTCTCCACAAGGATGAGTGTGGTTAGTTGATATGTTTGAAAACCCATTCCTTAATTAGATTAGCCAATTTTCACACCTTTTCCTCCCCATACCTGCCCCGGATGAAGGAAGAAGGAAGTGGTAACCGCAATCTTGGTATATGTCCATCTGCAATGTCATTGGTCAGGTGAGGATATGCCACATTGTTGGAGCTGCCTTCATCAGTTTTCAAATGGGTGCACTGTTCGGTGGGCTAGGGGGTAATATAAAATCAATCTGCATTGAGCTTTTATTTTTGGAATGCAAAAGCAATTTCCAGGAGCATAGAGCTTGCAGTTGTTGCAGTGTGTGGACTAGGTAGAAAAACAACACCGACAAGATTCAGTAGTCAAAACAAAAAAAAATCCTTCCAGTAGCACCTTAAAGACCAACTAAGTTAGTTCTTGGTATGAGCTTTCGTGTGCATGCACACTTCTTCAGATACTTCTTCTTCGTATCTGAAGAAGTGTGCATGCACACGAAAGCTCATACCAAGAACTAACTTAGTTGGTCTTTAAGGTGCTACTGGAAGGAATTTTTTTTGTTTTGACTATGGCAGACCAACACGGCTACCTATCTGTAACAAGATTCAGTAGGTATTGACTGTAGCATATAATGTTGCTTGTATGCAGCATTACAGGAGTAGACTATTTCAGAAGCAGGATAGCCCAAAACTCATGGGCTATTGTAGCTGAGATAATAATAATAATAATAATAATAATAATAATAATAATAATTTATTATTTGTACCCCGCCCATCTGGCTGGGTTTCCCCAGCCACTCTGGGCGGCTTCCATAGAAACCAAAAAACACTAAAATATCATACATTAAAAACTTCCCTGAACAGATGACAGAAGATCAACCCCCTCATCATTTTCCTCCTAATGCAAGGCAAATGAGCTAGTTGACCCTTGTCAGCTGTAGGAGGCATATCTGTTTTTCCTTCCATCCTTTCTTCTAGGTCAGCAGGCTGAAACGTGCCACTTTTACACATCTTTACTTAATTGTTGAGGACTCTTATTGGCTGCAGGATTGACAGATTGTGCAATATGCCTTTCCTGTGCCTTAATTGGACCTGTGTTCCTGACCTTCTATAACTGCATATGCATGCAGGTTAAATGTTCCTATATTGAGTTAAATCTGTCCTGGATTTTCCTTGGAGATGTAGGTGGTAGAATGAAAGCATATTTTCCACCATTCTGAGTTCAGAGCAGGACATGTTATTCAGCTAGACCACTGACTGTTGTGTATATATGGCCACTGTGTATGGAGAAAGAAGTCCCGAGGAAATGGAAAGCATAATAAATTAGCATTCCTGATGTGACCTGAGTGGTGGGCAAGGTTCCCTCAGAAACTTGATTTCTAAAGAAAAGATTTGGAGAGAGTTTTGCCTAATTTTGCCATCATCCACCTTGGCCTAGCTTAAAGTATCGGTGGGTCTCTACCAGCTGAGCCTTTTCCTGATGCTTCACCTCAACCTTGCATCTTCATTCAAGAAACTTTCCATTACATTGAGTACCTGAGACCTTTTGGGGGTGCCAAATCATTTTTCCACGGGACATGTGAAATGGCATGAATAATGGGTATTTGTCTTCCTATTCTGGAAAACACAACAATATCTTCTTTCTTGCTGCCCCGGGCTTCTTTGAGGGGAACGGCAGGTCAAAAAACTGAATTATTTTTTTTTAATAACAAAACTATTACAGCATTGTTTGTTGCTTGCAATTTCTTAACTAATTCCAAGCACCTAGTTCTAAGAAATGCCCTGCCATTAAAAGGAGACAGAGACCTCCATGTAGCAAGAAAATCAAACAGACCCTGATTTATTTTAAGTGTATAGTGTCTCTGGGAATGTCTTACTTTAATCCTAAATCCTTTAATTAGGGTGGCGTAATCTTTCTAGTTCCACAAAATAAATATAGCACTTTTGAAAATAAGGCATTGCAAGCAAATTTATGATTTGTCAAAATGAGAATATCTGCTTCCCCACCAATGATAAACATTCAGAATGTCTGTATGATTTTTTTCACTTTCCTGGCTCCATTCCTCTCCTTTGGCTTTTTGTAAAAATACAGGGAAGTGGTTGTTTACGTAGTCAGATGTGACTGTTCCTCCTTGATTTTAAAAAAGTACAACCCAACAACTTTGGAATATTAACTGACAAATCTGTTTTGTTCACTGCCCCTCCCCCAATATGTTGGCTTGCATATAAAGGTAAAGGGACCCCTGACCATTAGGTCCAGTCGTGACCGACTCTGGGGTTTCGTCACCCATCTCCCTTTATTGGCCGAGCGAGCCGGCGTACAGCTTCGGGGTCATGTGGCCAGCATGACTAAGCCACTTCTGGCGAACCAGAGCAGCACATGGGAACGCCGTTTACCTTCCCGCTGGAGCGGTACCTACTTATCTACTTCCACTTTGACGTGCTTTCGAACTGCTAGGTTGGCAGGAGCAGGGACCGGGCAACGGGAGCTCACCCCGTCGCGGGGATTTGAACCACTGACCTTCTGATTGGCAAGTCTTAGGCTCTGTAGTTTAACCCACAGCGCCACCCACGTCCCTGCTTGCATATAGATTACCCATTAATAACTGGAATATATGAGTAGTCATGAAACCACAATGAATGGATGCATGTACACTCAGAGCAAAGGAGTGAGGCCATTCCTGTTTGAGGGATCATTGCACTACTGCAGAACCTACACGCCCAGGCGGTTTGAGTTTGACTTCATCCCCAAAGGTACAGTCCTCCATTGTCTTCTGAGACAGATGGATGTCAACAGACTATGTATGAACCTGAAAGTTAGAAAAAAAAGCCTGCCAGTAAATTTAGAAGCAGGGTGTCACATCCATTACTCACTGTGTCCTTGTTTATATGCAGTGCTAAGCAAAGTAATTGCTTAGGGTGAATGAGGAAATGGACAGGCTTCTAGAGAAGAGTATATGTCTGTTTTGCTCCTCCCCAGTCATTCTGTGTTGTGCTGTTGTTGTTGTTTAGTCATTTAGTCGTGTCCGACTCTTCGTGACCCCATGGACCAGAGTACGCCAGGCACTCCTGCCTTCCACTGCCTCCCGCAGTTTGGTCAGACTCATGTTTGTATCTTCGAGAACACTGTCCAACCATCTCGTCCTCTGTCGTCCCCTTCTCCTTGTGCCCTCCATCTTTCCCAGCATCAGTGTCTTCTCCAGGGAGTCTTCTTTTCTCATGAGGTGGCCAAAATATTGGAGTCTCAGCTTCATGATCTGTCCTTCCAGTGAGCACTCAGGGCTGATTTCCTTAATAATGGATACGTTTGATCTTCTTGCAGTCCATGGGACTCTCAAGAGTCTCCTCCAGCACCATAATTCAAAAGTATCAATTGTTGTGCTGACCTAAGCCATGGTTTAGATTAGCGTTATGTGCAAACCATGCCAGGTTTGCATGTGCTCTGCTCCTGTTTGAGTCTGTTTTATTTTTCCCCAAACTTGAGGAAACCAGTCCATTGAAGCTTTAGTCTTCATTCCCAACTTTAACAAAGGGTTAAATATAGATAATTAAACAACTGGCTAACTTACTCAGTTAGAAAGTAGATAAAATGAAGTTTTTATTACCAGCTTATAACAGTAGATGATGGGGGGCCACCAAATTAAGCTGATTGTCGGATGATCAGGAAAGGCAAAAGGATAGGCAATGGATTTCTGCCACATTCATGAGATAAAAACATTTGTTCTCCTTTAATGTTTGCTTTTCTTTCCTCTCTTCACTACCCAGCTTGAGGTTGCTCGTTTTATGCAGCAGCTTATTCCATAAAGTACTACATATACACTGAAGATGTCATATGCAGAGTAAAAATTGTATTGTACTCCCAATTCCTGACATAGTGGAAGACTAGCTGGGTAGCCATAACAATGTGCTTTATTTTTAATTTTAAACAAACAGTTAATTTCCTGAGACTGTCTCTTGCCGCTCCAAAGAGATTGGCCTATTGTATTAGTTTTCTAATTGCAGAATTTGGTGGAGGCTGTTGACTTTAGCAAGAGATGCGGTTATAGTATGGGACCTTCAAGGTATGCAAGGTGTGCTACTGATTTAAGGGATATTCTCTACTCCATATTTCTGGTGGTGGTGTGTTGATTAAATTGCAAGTAAGCTCACATCGAAGGCAGAGCATGCCCTTTCATTCATTATTCTCAGGAACTTGATAAATGCACAGAATGGATTTCTCAGTTGCGGAGTTGTGGCTATTAGCATTGCATGCACATTCTAACCCAGTTTAACTGAATTTAACTATCATGGTACTACTTATGGGTTTGTTGGCAAGTTGAAAAATAAAGCATGACTGAAATGAACTGTAATGCAGACCCTGCTTCTGAATAATCATATGAAAGAATAGGCTAAGGGCAGATTTCCTGGCTGTGGTTTTTGAGTGATAATTACTACACCATTTGGCAGCTTAGTTATATGAAATAGGTATTACTGCAAGTGTGTGCTTTGCCATTAATACAGAACTGGATGACTGAGAGCGTACTGGGTTGAAAGCATATTGCCGCCTGGTTGGGTGAATCCACTATAAATAGCTTTCTTAAAAATTGAAATCATCACATGTATGTTCAATCTGTTTCTCTTCTCTTTTTGGTAGAACCAGCTCCTTTCGAAGGGCTTGCTGTTCATGGAGGAGAAGGTTAAACTTTGTGAAGGCAAGTATAGAGGGGCTGCTGCATTTCAGGAAAGGGCTCTGGGTTCCCTAAAAGCCCTGTGAGTTATCTTCTCAGGCTTGGGTCACTTAGGTGGTTTTGTGGAAAAACCAACACCTGTGAGTCACATGACTAAATATTATAAGGTCCTGTTCTGTACAAGCAAGAAACTGAGCCCTGATGATAGCACAGAGTAGAAATTTAACTGGAGCACAAAGGAAGTAACTTTTTCTTTTCCTAAAAGAAAAAAAGCTAATACAAATAATCACTTATAAAGTGGGAATTATTACGTATAGCACTTGTTCATGGACCCACTTCTCTTTGTCCTTATTGTCTTGCTAACATCTAGGTTAGATCACTGCAATGTGGTGTACATGGGGCTGCCTCTGAAAGTGGCTTAGGAACTCTAGCTGCTACAGAAAAGGACCTTTTCAACTTTGTGTGTTATTGTTTTTGTTCGTTACTATGTTGAGTAATTTTCTGTTTTTATATGGTAAACCACCCTGTGATCCTTGGATGAAGGGCAGTACAGAAATTCTATAAAATAGATAAGTAGTGGTAAGGTGAATCTTGTGACTTCTGGATTTCTAGCTGGCAGTACTGTGGCAAGATATTTCTCACATCTTAGCAGAACAATTAACAGAACAATCCCTTGTGTTAGGCTGTCAGGGAGCGTTTGGGTTAAGCGGAGGCTTTCCGGCTGAGCTGACTTCCCTCTGTCACAGTAAAGCAAGCATCTCTCCATTGGCACCAGCTTCCTCCTTCCATCCACTGAATGTGCAGGCAGCTGAGCAAGCTGAGGAAGAGATCCTTAAAAAGGGCATCCTGAGGGTGGGGAGGGGCTGAGCCTGCCCAACATCTGCTCACATGATGTTATTGGTGCCTGGTCATTGGGCCAGTGATCATTCCAGATCATTCTGCTCTCTCCCCCTTTGCACTGTGACTACCGTGAGTTTCTGGACTGTGGAAGTGATGGCGGTCCTGTTGCTCTGCAGGAGGCTGTGGATTCTGGATTTCTCTGTTCATATTCTATGATTCAGATGGGCAGTGTGTGACTGTCAAAACCAGGAAGATCTGGGAAGGCTTCCAGTGGTCATGGGATATGGCTTTTTCACAGACATGCAATAAGCTCAGAATGTTTTACTAGCCCACAAAAATGTTTATTAGCTTGCCTGTACACATGTATGTCACTCACTGATGTCCCAAAAAGAGAAAAATAAGAAACTATTCCCTTCTAGTTTTGGTTACCAGGAGGCAATTGTGACTTGTCATAGGTAAACAAGCGAGATTCAATTATGGGCCTGCTTTATCATGTATGGCTCTCTCGTCTAGTTTCTTATCACTTGGATCTGACTGTTCCCAAACCTGCAAAAGTAAAGGAAGAAAGGAGCTCCTCAAATAACCTTTTGCAGCTCTTATGCTGAGATTCCTTCTGTTGATTTTTATTTTTTAGTGGACCGAACCTTCTCCTAGCAAGTAATCAGCAGGCAGATTGGGTGTGATACAGCAGCTCCAGAGTTTGATATGCTGTTTGCTGCTAAAATTCAGCTTGTAAACTTAATTCCATCTGGTCTAGTCCTGTAGAATGCTGGCTTCCTCCATGGGAAAAATTTCACAACCTGAAGTTTAATTTTGAAAGTAGTAAAACTTTATGTTGAAAAACAGTGGGCCATAGGTTGCTCAGGCTGCAATTCTAAGCACACTTATTGGGAAGCGAGCCTGAGCTATATAAGGTGGGAATTTGGCTGTAACATTGCAATATTCAGATCTACAGCACTCAGTTTGAGGTCAGTATAAGTCACACAGTCCCTTTGGAAACCATGTCCATATGTAGGTTAAGCCAGGACATACATCTATCTGCTTGTACTGCCCTCTGGCCTCTGAGAACATCCAGCAGCTTAAAACTAATAGTTCCAGATTGGAAAGAAAAGCTCATTTTGGCAGCTTCTGGGTGGTGAGTTTCTGAATCACTCACATTTATGTGGAATGCAAATAGTGCCAGTTTGTGGCTGCTGAAACTTATTTTTTGGCAGGGGGAAATGAGCGATGCTTATTTTCCATGGTTATACCAAAGATCACGTAGATGCTCCATTGCTTTGGCTTGGGCATGTGAACTGAAAAATGTTTGAAAACCTGGTGACCACAGGAGTTATGACATCGGTGGTGAAGACGAGAGCTACTTGGTTAATCAGATGGTGGGGCATTTGATCTTGCTTGCTCTGTGTGACATGAAGATGCCTTCCCTGCCCCTTTGAAATGCACCATGCTGATAGGATAACAATAGTGGGAAGGACACATTTCTGCAGGGGAATCTCCATACATATGCATCTGTGCTGTGCACCAATTTGAGTTGTGGCTGAAAGTAGTATTTTTGTGAAAGCTGCTGCGTCAACATCAGAAAATAGTTGGAGATGCACATTCATGTTTACATCCCACGGAAAACAAAATCAGGTCCAGATGGGTACCAGTATCAACATTCAGTATCAACATTCAATGCAAATTTGGATTTACACCAATGGTTTTTACCCTGAGTAGATAAAGGTAAGGTAAAGGGACCCCTGACCATTAGGCCCAGTCGTGGTCGACTCTGGGGTTGCGGCGCTCATCTTGCTTTACTGGCCAAGGGAGCCGGCGTACAGCTTCCGGGTCATGTGGCCAGCATGACTAAGCCGCCTCTGGCGAACCAGAGCAGCGCACAGAAATGCCGTTTACCTTCCCGCCGGAGCGGTACCTATTTGTCTACTTGCACTTTGACGGGCTTTCGAACTGCTAGGTTGGCAGGAGCCGGGACCAAGCAACGGGAGCTCACCCCGTGGTGGGGATTCGAACCGACAACCTTCCGATCGGCAAGTCCTAGTCTCTGTGGTTTAACCCACAGCGCCACCCGCATCTACCCTGAGTAGATACAACCCACTATAATGGTGATATAGCTTACTATATTCCATGGGTACTGAGTAGTTCTGCAGTTACAGAACATAGGGCTTGGTAGGATTTAGGGGAGCACCCGAATATTCATGCCCTGATCTCACCGCAACATGTGCCCTCCATGATGGAGGACACAATATCTTGGAAGAGGTGGAAACATAAACTGAGCTACAGTTGCCAACAATTGTCTGCCTTTACAGAGAATTAGTCAATAGTTGGATGGCTTGCTTTGGGTAGAGTATAGCTGAATATCAGAGGCCAAGTTCTAAAACAAGGTTCTTTTTCTTCACCCCACCCTCTGTTTGCTTAGAAGAGAATCGCATTGACATACTATCTGAACTCTGGGATCACTTCTTCACAGAGACTCTTCCCACACTCCAGGCTATATTTTACCCTGTTCAGGTAAGTCTAGTTAAAATATAAGCTTGGCAGGGAGGAGAATACAGTTCAAACTTACCACAAACTACCTCTCCGAAAGCTGTTGAGACACCCAACACTTAAACTGCAAAGAAATAGATTTCAGGTATAAACCACGGATTTCTTCAGATGTACTGCCGAACTTAAAGATATATAGGGGAGGTCTTAGTATTCTAATAGGATACAAATTCTGTGTGACTTCAAATGTGTCTTAAAACAGACTTCTTCAACCCGTGTTTTGAACTGGTTTCCACCAGTTCTAGTCAGTTCAGCTGTGCGTTGTTGAGTATTTTGACCACACTTACATGGGCATACTTGCTAAAGCATAGGCAGAAGAAGCTTCCAAAAAGCAAAGGAGGGCAGATGAGTTGTGAAGATCCTTTGACATCTTTATATACCTGGATATGCTAATGGAGTGGAGCTGTCTTGTGGGGCAAATGGTCAATTGACATCTAAACACCCAAGAGGTCAAAAAGAATGAACCTCTCTGGAGCTTCCTTAAAGGACAAGATTTCTGCACTTTGTAAATTTCCTTTCTGGCTTCCCTTTCAATCCCTTTATAGCAGATGCGAAGAAAGTAGATTTGAATCTACTGGTAGATCTCTCGGTGAGTTTTATTCTATTCACAAGTGTTTCTGACTCCCAATTGGCTAACTTTCCCCCATAAAAAACCAGATTGCTGAAAAGGAAAAGAGGGTGTGTGTGTGTATAACCAGGAATGGATTTTTGTGGGAAGGTTCTGGTACTGAAAACAAATTCTGAGGGTGAGCATGTACTTACACATTCTCTCTTCTTGAATTTTGAGAGTACCCCCCTGGTCACACTTTCCCACCTGGCTCCTGTTGGTGGATCAAGTGGCTCCATTACAAAAACATAGTAGATTCCCCCCCCCCAATTTATAGTATACATTGTATATCATTTCCTGTCATTGTAGTTCCTATCAAGACATTGCAAATTGCACACACAAAATATATTTTGTAAGAAGGGTAGCTGTGGAGAGAAGGGAGTGCCCATATCCAAGGCTGGCTCTTCATTTTCAAACCATGGGTTGATTTGCCAAAAGGCACATCCAGACAGTTAAAAGGGTGTGCATTTTGCAACAGTTAGCAGTTCAATTTTTCTGCTGTTTGTGGGCTGGATTCTCCTCCCCCTTGAGCAGGGGAACAACATAATTTTTGTTGGCCTCTTACTCAGTTGGCTTCAGCAAAGGACCAACCATTCTATGTATTCTTTGTTTGACAGACCCTAACAATCCTAACTACTGAGTAACTTTTAAATGGGTATTTTAAAATAGATACTTTGAGATAAGAGGGCAGAGAATACCCAGTCATTCCCTGCTATATTCATTATTCTTGAACTTGAGGGACCTAACAGATAATATCCACACACACACACACCCTATGGTACCCCCAAGGAGTTGAGTCACCTAAATGAGAGACAGCTACCTTGTGAACCAAAGAAGAAATCTTGTCTGGGCATGAGAAGCTTCTGGCAGCATAAATTTCCCACAGAATAAAATTCTTATGAAGGTCACATGCTTCTATGTCTGCCCTTGGCAATCTGGTATTGGCTGGCTTATCCCCCCCCCCCCAACTTCCAGCTCCAAAATATCTACTAGAGGCATGATACAAGCCTCCTACTCAGCCCCCAACCTGGCAATTTCCAAAAGGTCTAGAAGAGTGGAAATACTTGCTTTTTGCTATGTATATACTAACTTCCCATGATGTCTGTATTAATTCTCTCTCTTCCTCCTTTCCTATCCCTCTTTATTTCCCATACTTGCAGCAGATGATAGACGGTATGTGTGAGAATGCCCGTTTTAGAAGGCTATGGTCTCTCTCTTGGTGCTTTTAAAGTGATTTATGCCCCAATCCTTAATATATTAAATGGAAATAAGACTTTTTTTTAAAAAAAAGTGAAATGTCTTTCCTTGTAGTATATTCAGAACTGGAGTGTAAATCAGCTGAGAAGTCAATTTCACCCAATGGTATACTGCTTTTAAGGTACCGTATTTTTCTCTCTATTACACGCAGATTTTTTCTCCTAAAAAGGAAGGGGAAATGTCTGTGCGTGTTATTGAGCGAATGTGGGGGGTCCCTGGAGCCGATTAGGGGAGCGCAGGAACAAAAATCAGCAAAAATCAAATTGTGCGTTGCGTTGGAGAGGGAAACCTGAAAAGAGGAAGTTGCTGCTTTCCTGCATTCTGCCTCAGGGTCTTACTGCCCACTCGCTTGTGTTTCATTGCTGTGTTTGCTCAAACGGAACAAAGAGCAGGCAAATCCCCTCCCCTCCAGGCAAGCAGAGGGGAAAGCAGAGGTCTTTCCTTCTAATTCCTCTCCGTGCTCCTCGCAGGCAGCCAGAAAACATGCAGAAGAGAGAGAGCTGGCTTCAGTTTGGGGAAACTTTTGCCTTTCTTTCCTCCCTCCAGTTAAATCCCTCTCCTGCATTCTTAGCCAGCTGCTTCTCTGCACACCGCTCGCGTGCTCCTTTTCCCTTCTGTGTTTTTCCTTCCCTCCCCACTTAAAATGTAGTTAAAAAGCATGGATCCACATGGATCCTCAGGATCTTTGGATTGGGCCACCCCAAATTCACCATCAGATCACATAGCAGCCTGCCCCCCCCAAATCACACACCCACTGTTGCCTGGGGCTGCAATGGTGCAAAAACGTGGTTAAAAAGCATGGATCCACATGGATCCTCAGGATCTTTGGATTGGGCCACCCCAAATTCACCATCAGATCACATAGCAGCCTGCCCCCCCAAAAATCACGCACCCACTGTTGCCTGGGGCTGCAATGGTGCAAAAATGTGGTTAAAAAGCATGGATCCACATGGATCCTCAGGATCTTTGCATTGAGCTACCCCAAATTCACCATCAGATCACATGTCTGTGGCCACAGCATGAAGCACAAAAATGATACATCCACTGTTTCATTCAGAATTTTTTCCCTTGTTTTCCTCCTCTAAAAACGATGTGCGTGTTATGGTCAGGTGCGTGTTATAGAGCGAAAAATACGGTAGACGTCACAATGTGGTTTTAAACAATAAGCATCAATTTAAAAATTCTACGACAGTTTTTTTCAAAGTTGGATCCCCGAATGTCATAGAATCATAGTATCAGAGAACTGTAGAGCTGGAAGGGACCCCAAGGGTCATTTACTCCAACCCCCTGTAATGCAGGAATCTCAGCTAAAGCATCCATGACAGATGGCCATCCAGCCTCTGCTTAAAAACCTCCTAGGAGGGGGAGTCCATCACCTTCCAAGGGAGTCTGTTCCACTGTTGAACAGCTCTTATTGTCAGAAAGTTCTTCCTGATGTTTAGTTGGAATCCCCTTTCTTGTAATGTGAAGCCATTGGTTCAAGTCTTACTCTCCAGAGCAGGAGGACGCAAGCTTGCTCCATCTTCCATGGGATGGCCCTTTAGATATTTGAAGGTGGCTATCACATCTTCTCTCTGTCTTCTCTTTAGCAGGCTAAACATATCCAACTCCCTCAACCATTCCTTATAAGGCTTGGTTTCCAGACCCTTGATCAGCTCCCACCATCCCTCAACATTGGCTACACTGGCTGGTGATGCTGGCAGTTGTACTCCAGCACCATCTGGGGGCCCCAAGGTTGAAGAACACTGTTCTAAGATAAAAATGTTTTATTACAGAGTCTGCCAAGCCAAACTTTTTGAAAGTCTGAGAGCTGAATGGTGTCACCTAACAAGGCAGTTCTTACTTCCTATTCATGGCAATATGGTTCTTCAGAAACCCCAGTGTTGGGGGGGGAGTTACCACCTTAAGTGGGAGCTAGATACTATCAGCCCCCTTGAAACATCCCTCCAGTCTGAAGAGGATTCATTTATGAGAACACTTCTGAAAATAGTTTTCCAACCAGCTCTGAATCCACCTGACAATATTACCACTTAGGTAAAGGGACACAGGTGGTGCTGTGGTCTAAAACCACTGAGCCTCTTGGGCTTGCCAATCAGAAGGTCGGCGGTTTGAATCCCTTGATGGTGTGAGCTCCCATTGCTCTGTCCCAGCTCCTGCCAACCTAGCAGTTCGAAAGCACGCCAGTACAAGTAGATAAATAGGCACGGCTGCGGCGGGAAGGTAAATGGCGTTTCCGTGCTCTCTAGCTTCCATCACGGTCTTCTGTTGTGTCAGAATCAGTTTAGTAATGCTGGCCACTTGACCCAGAAAGCTGTCTGTGGACAAATGCCAGCTCCCTCGGCCTGAAAGCAAGATGAGTGCTGCAACCCCAGAGTCGCCTTTGACTGGACATAACTGTCCAGGGGTCCTTTACCTTTTTGTTATCACTTAGTAATACCATTTACCTATGTAGTTATGGGGCAACTTGTCAATTACTTGACTTATATAAAGTTTAAATATGTGAAAGCTTCATAGTGATTTTTCTCAAGTTATGTCATACCACTTCCCCTCTCTCCCATCTTTCCTTTGTAAAGGAATGATAGTGTAGAATCCTGTAAAACCTTTGCACCAACACTTTGCTATAAATGAGATCTTTCATCAGAATCTCCTTTCCCACAAATCATTCAATAAAGGTTTTGATTTCCTTAAAACAACATGGCCAGCCAAACATTAAATTTGGTTCAGGATTAGAATATTTATGTAATCTAGAAAATAGAATTCATTATTAATTTTAAACTTGGTTTCTGTAAATTCATGTAAAGTCCAGAGTTAAGCTTTTTGAACTCTGAACTTTTTTTGGGGGGTGGAAGGAATACAATTGAAGTCTCTGGACTTTCCCCCCATTATTGTGTATGTGTGTTAAAGGCCATTCTGAGTTATATGTGCTTTTAAAGCAAACATAGTTTATGGCACAACTTGAAAGCCTTACAAAGCTCTTCACAAGTCTAACTTCACAATGTTTACTTGGAAATAATTGTTTCGCCAAGTTGGTTCCTGAAAATGGACTAGAGAGAATGCCAAGTGTTTGTAACACTGAATGATATGAGGAAATAGACTCTATGAGGGAAAGAGGCTCTAGGGAGATGGCATAATCCTTTCCCAAACACTGATCCTTCCTAGAAAGTTCCCCTTTGTTCAGACACATTATCCCCCAGGTCTCACTTCCAGCTAGACTTCCAACACAGAAGCAGTAGAAATGGTCTTGGACAATTGGTGCATTGCAGGTAATAATTGATGTGTGTGCATGTTTGTGCGAACCACTTATGACTTCCCCATTCTGTTCTGCAAATGGTCACATATCCCTTCATTCCTGTTATCTCAGCAATGGATTGAAGACACCCATTTGCAGAGGTAACACTTAAACTTCCATCCCTGTCATTGATTTAATATGTGAATAAGTACATTTTCACAGCAGGTTAAATTTGCAAGATAAACTATGTGCTTGATTTAGCTTGTTTACACTTACAAAGCTAATGCTGCGACCCTGCAGAAATCTCATACTTTCTACAGCTTTATCTTGTATGCCCATAAATACCTGCTCTGATACCCAAAGGGGGCAAAGCATTTCTTTGGAGCCATTGGCTTTTGTTCCTATTTTGCATTTTGATGAAGATGTTAGCTGCATCATTAACCACGTTATGAATTGATGATTAACAAATGTGGATTCCCTCCAGCCAGAGATTTGCTTCAGTGGTTGCGGAGCAGTTACCTATATAACTATTCCCATGGAGAATATAGGGCACAGTTTAACTGGGTTGTGGCGGGGGCGGGGGGGGGGGAGATAGATTCATCGCTGCAATGAAGCATTGGGAGTTGCTTTGAACCTCCTTATTTTCTATTTTATTGTTTTTATACTGTTTTATTGCACTACTAAACATTGTTTTAATGTTATTGTTTGTTTTTATACTGCACAAAATTTAGATATTTTTAAAATATTCAGCAATTCATAAATGCCAGTAAACAATCAAACACTAAGAAAGCTACCACTTGTAGAATAATTTACCTGCTTGTGTAGGAAGTCTTCCCTTCCCCAGATTCTTTAACCAGCCACTGTAAATACCTCTCCATCCACATGCCTGTAGTGGCTAGGTTTATAACTTCATGTGACCAGTCATATGGTGCATTATGTTCTCTGTCCCCCTTCATTCCCCAGTTCTTACATGAAAGCATAAAATTAACCCCCGGCATTATTTACAGCTGCTCTGAAATTGGTGTCGGATGGAGTTAAATGTACCCCAGACCAACAGCCACTAATTCCCCCACTATTTTCTGAATGTGTGTACAGGGCCAAGAATTGACTATTCGCCAGATTGCGTTGCTCGGCTTCCGAGATTTGGTCTTACTAAGAGTGAATTTGGATGAGATTCTTCCTCGGGTCCAAACCAAGCTTCCACCTTCCATTGTCCAGATGCTGCTGATTTTACAGGTGGGGAGCAATGTGTTTCTTCTTATTATATGTGCCTTGACTAGTGAGTAGCTGGCCTGGAGAGGTTTCTGTATACTATGAAGAAAGAGGAGAACCTGTGCAGAGCAGAAAAGTGCAATTGAGCAATTGCTATGAATGGCACAGACTAAGGCTGCTGTCCTAACCCCACTTACCTGTTAGTAAGCCCCATTCAATTAAATAGGACCTATCTTTAGGTAAAGGTAAAGGGACCCCTGACCATTAGGTCCAGTCATGGCCGACTCTGGGGTTGCAGCACTCATCTCGCTTTACTGGCCAAGGGAGCCGGCATACAGCTTCCGGGTCATGTGGCCAGCATGACTAAGCCGCTTCTGGCGAACCAGAGCAGCGCATGGAAACGCCGTTTACCTTCCCACCAGAGTGGTACCTATTTATCTACTTGCACTTTGATGTGCTTTCGAACTGCTAGGTTGGCAGGAGCAGGAACGGAGCAACGGGAGCTCACCCCATCGCAGGGATTCGAAACCGCTGACCTTCTGATCGGCAAGTCCTAGGCTCTGTGGTTTAACCCACATCACCACCCACGTCCCTAGGACCTACCTTTAAGCAGACACAATTAAGATTGTGCTGTAAGTTACTAGCTACAAAACCATTTGGTAAAGGGATACCAATAAGCAGATTTTGTCTTTCATCTGAACCAAATAAGACTATACCATCTGTTTTATCAACTATCTTCCTCCTCATTTCCCTGTCTCATGGGGGGGGGGAATCAATCTCTGGTACTTTTTATGCATCTGATGATGAAGGATTTTACTCTCAAACCGTACAGTTGTTTTCATTAAGTACCATAGGATTTTTGTTTGTTTGTTTGTTTTGCATTTTCTCACTTTCTTTACTCTGGATAGCTTAATCATGTTCCCTGTTGTAACTTCATAGGAGGATTGTTCAACATTTATTCACTCTCTTATTTCCCAGGCTTACACCATCCATTTTGTTGCCTCTGTAGCAAGCACTTAAATCCATTTTGGTGCAGCTGCTTGAAAAGCTTGCACCACTCTACTTGTTCAGCTTTAGAGGGCTTTTATTTATTTATTTTAGCAGAACAGGTCTTCCCTTGGGGCAAGTCCTATTCAACCCCACTGACCCACTGGATCCTATCCATCTTCTAGGGTGTTCTGTTAAGTTACATTTGCATACCAGGTTCGGTTGACCTGGGCATTCTCAGCAGGGGGTCCTTTTTACCTCGGATAGCTTACCGTAGCCTGAATCTGCAGAGTTATAGAAAGAGGTGTACATCTGCAAAGCATTAAGTATTTTTGAACTGCTCTGAATGGTTGTCTTAAGTTTTTCAAATCCTCAACAGTACTGCATTGTAACATATATCAGGTGGCCAGACATCACCAACAGTGAACTGAGCGCTAACAGTATGGGAGCCAAAATGGGGTCACTGAGAAACAAGTGGGGTGTGACTGCAATGTTGGAGGAACCCTGAGGTTTGCAGAATTACAAATATTTCTAACCCTAACCCTCCTTCACAAAGATACCCAAGCCGAATGATGACTGAGCATATTCAGGAGCTGCAGAAAGCTGACTGTCCATTGGAATAGAGAAACAGAAAACCAGGATATGAGGGGAATCGAATGGCTTCTTTGAGCCACTTATGGAAACTTTATAGTATCCCGAAGAGGGTTGGCTGGAATGCTGAAAGCAACCTGCATTTTGTTGCAAGCTCCATGTAGGAGAATAATTATGTAAAATAATTATAATTATGTAATTATGTACAGGCTCTTTTTTCTTCATTTCCACAACTTCTTCCTGTGCGCACAATTATATTTCTTCTGAAAGAAGAAGAAATATTGTGAAAGAAATATATATGTTCATATGCAAATCTGTTGGATGCTTTTTTGTTACAGGGAGTACATGAACCTACAGGTCCCAGTAAGGCCTTCATGCAGTTGGAGGAGCTTGTTAAACTCGTGGTCTCCCCATACCTCGGTTTGTGCGAAGAACACTGCTTCCCTGGTAGTACATGTGCTCTGGGTAAGATGCATTGTATTGCAACGCCATTCGAGTTTCTTTCCCCTCAAGATCCCTTCTTAAACCAATGTAACCTGCATCTGTGTTGGTCAATAGTTTCCTTGAGGGCTGTGCAAAAAGAAAATTGGTACCCAAAATGTGTGTTCTCGTGTTAGTACTGCCTCTGCATTGTTGCAGAACACGTTTGACCAGAGACAACACAGTGCGACAAAAGAACTGTACATCAAGAGTGCTGCCTCTCACATACCACTTGCAACTCTCTTTAAGAAAACAACAACTATTGTCTGTCAGCAGCCAGCATGGTCTAATTAATATGCAGCTTTGTGCAAGACAGAGATGGGAGAATAAAAGCTTAAATCATCCCTGAGTAGATACCAATCAATGAAGCCTTAAACATAATTAGTTTGTATGGAAACAGCCTTCATTTTTTCCCTTCCTGAGTCTTACCAAGTGATAATGAGAGTTCAGTATTCACAACCTGGTTCTGCAGGTGCTTAAAATCTGATTTTTTAAAAATGGTAGCTGAAAAGCATCTTACCACATATTACAGGTTTCTAGTTTAGTTTCTTTCCCTTCCTCTATCCTGCAAGGGAACTTGCCAAACACCCATAGTTGTAGTTCTTTGAGGATCCACGTGCCCTTTGTTCCACAGCATCATCAGACACCTGTTGCCAATGTTCTGCCTGATCACCAGGTTGTTAGTGTGACAACGTCAACTCTATTGGAATTGTGTTATTCAATCACAACTACTTTGTGCTGCTCTTCCCAGCTCCCAGGGCTATGTTGTAGGCAAGGAAATGGCAATAAAGTCAGATCAGCACTCCCCCTAGTACAATACTGTCTAATACCACCGCTAGCCAGTGTGTCCCCCCCCCAATAGTTGCCATCATCCCTGACCATTGGCCATGCTGGCTGGGGCTGAGTTGCAGTCCATAGCATCTGGAGGGCTGCCCCTGATCTCTATAATTTCTGGCTTTCCCAGTTCTGGCCACCACTGGACAAGGAATGTTTGAAACTGGTATCTTGTCAAAAAACATGTGTTCCCTTTATGTTGTGATTCCTGCAGCTGTGGGGCCACATCCTTGTCTTTGGATGTAATATAGTGTGTGTTGTGTAGTTCAGTGGACACGACTCTTTGCCTCTCAACTCCTCCAGTTCTAATCCATATTTCCCCTTCCTTCTGACAATCATTGTTTCCTCGCTTGTCTTTTCAGCCTTACATTTAAACCAGGGGTTGGGAACTTGCAACTCTTCATATCTGGGTAGTCCTTCAGATTTTTCTGGCCTACAGATCCTGTTATCCCTGGCCATTGACCATGCTGACTGGGACTGATGGGAGTTGTAGTCCAGCAACATCTTGGAAAGCCACAGGTTTCCCATCTCTGTTGCAAATCAGGATTGCTATGTAAAAGAATCATAGATTTGGAGAGTTCTTAGGCAACTTAAGCACACTGTATATAAATAGCTGGCATTTTATTTGTTTGTTTAAATAAATGCTGCCCTTTTAAAAGTCAAAACCCTCTAAAGGTGGCTTCTATATATGCATAATGCAATGCAGTTGCCTATCCAAAAATAGCCACCAACTTCGATTGGTAGTGGTGGGCATGTAGTCAGAGCCTCTGTTGGTCTCAAAGTGTGAGCAGCTTGGAATGGGTGATTGTATATAACCCACATGGCAAAGCTTCTTTGACATCCTATGCATGCTGAGAACAAGAGCTTGTAGACTGGACCAAATGCCTATCTAGTTGAGCATCTTGACCAACCTGATGACACCAGGAAGCCCACAAGGGCAACATAAACACAACAGCACTCTCCTGCTGTTGTTTCCCAGCAACCTGGCATATAGAGGCATGCTGCATCTGATCCTGAAGGTAATGATATAGTCCATCATGACCAGTAGACATTGGTAACCTTATCATCTATGAATTCATCTAATCACCGTTTAAAGTTGTCCACTCTTGGGGTTCTCCTTCATGGAACACTGCCTTGTCATGGCAAAGGGGCTTGAATAACACAGAGAAGCTATGAGCTATGCCATGCGGGGCCACCCAAGACAGACAGGTCATAGTGGAGAGTTTTGACTAAACTTTCTTGGGTTCCATGATCACTGCAGATGGGGACAGCAGTCACAAAATTAAAAGATGCCTGCTTCTTGGGAGAAAAGCAATAACAAACTTAGACAGCATCTTAAAAAGCAGAGACATCACCTTGCTGATAAAGGTCCGTATAGTTAAAGCTATGGTTTTCCCAGCAGTGATGTATGGAAGTGAGAGCTGGACCATAAAGAAGGCTAATCGCTGAAGAATTGATGTTTTTGAATTATGGTGCTGGAGAAGACTCTTGAGAGTCCCATGGACTGCAAGAAACCTATCAATTCTTAAGGAAATCAGCCCCTAGTGCTCACTGGAAGGACAGATCCTGAAGCTGAGGCTCTTTTTTGAACATAGCATTCCCCTGAGTATTCAGTCATTAGTCTAATGCATCCAACTTTTGTATAGGACTCATGAGTGTGATTCCTATGTTGATTCCTATTAGTTCAAATTAGAGCTATGTTGCATCCTCCTTTGCCCATGCCAACGGATATTCCTTCCTTGAGCCACCCTCTCCCACTTCTGGGTTTTGCCAAAATCGGTTAGGGTGGAAGTTCCACTCTGGATATAGCTGCATGGTCCAGTCTTTTATCTGAAAGGAAAGCCCACTTAGTTTAAAGCCAACATGGTGCTCTCCAGAACTTGCTGAACTACAATTCCCATCATTCTTTATCATTGATTATACTGTTTGGGAACTGATGAGAGCTGTAGGCCAACAATATCAGGAAGGCATCACGTTGGCTGCCTTTGGTTTAAATGGACTTACTTCTGAATAAACAGTCTTTGATTCATCATTGTTACCATTTGGTTCTTCCTTAATAAATATTTGTTAAGAACAACAGGCCTGAGAGACGTAGGCTGATCCCTCTAGAGGAGAGCTTTCCAAACTGTGTGTCGTGACACGTTGGTGTGTGAGCTGCAATGTCTTGGTGTCTTGTGCAAATGCTCTTATAAGGGGCTAGTTTAATCTCTGGTTTGCTAGCAAAACTGAATTACTGTGTCACAAAATGATTGTGTCTAAAAAGTGTGTAACCAACATGAAAAGTTCAGAAAGCTGTGGTCTAGAGTGTCTCTTTGTACGAAACGCACACCTTCTGGAGTTTGCTGCCTGACTCTATAAAAAAGAAAGAGGGCGGTAAGACCATATCTGATTACAGCTGCTTAGGTTTTACACAACAAATACATGCCTTGAGGAAACGAGATGTACTTCTCCCAGTGCAAACATAATCACAGCACAGTTTGCTATTCACAAGTAATAAAATCATGACCCTTCTCCAGAAGGAAAATGATACAAAGTGCATGCAGACTTGCACGGTGCTGAAATTGTTTTGCCTGAAAGTTAGCCATGTGACTCTTGGGAAACTTCTCTGCTACCTTTCTGTCTGCCAATAAAACAAGGGATTGGTGTCATAAAGCAGTTTTATGAACTCAGTGGCCTTGAAAGGACTGTAGATTCAAACCCATCACATTTGCTTTCTGTTTAGAAGTTACGTGTGTGCTATTCACTGTGCATGTGGGTAAATATGCATAGCACCTGTTTCCCATGTCAGGTTTGTGGGATTGGGATCAGGTTTCAACCAGGATTGAGGAATACTATAATAAATGGATATAAGACTTACTAATTTTTATTTTAATGGGCTGTAAAACAAACACTATTGGCCACAGTATTTATTTATAAGAATATGTATAAACCACCAATTCATATAAACATCATGGTGGTGTACAATAAAACTTTTAAAACATCTTAAAATTTTAACATATAAAATGCAGAGCAACTGTCTAACATGGAATCAAATTAATTCAACAACACTTGGTGAAATGAACAATTTCAGCAGGCAATGGCATTTCAGAATCATAAGCACCTGTCAGATTTCAACAGGAACAGCGTTTCAAATCCATGATGCTAAATGCCTTCGTTCACTAAGAAACTAATCAAACATTAGATCACAGTGAATGCATTATACTTCCTTCCCCTCCCCCACAATGATCAATCTGTACGTTGCTTTGAGACACTTCTTGCGAAAAAAAGTGACTAAAAATTAATAATAATGATGATAAGGCTAAATGAGCCAGCATGAGTTTTGTGCTTTTCTATTGCAATTAAAGTATGTGGGTGGAAAAGATCTGATGGGTTGAGGACTGCTTTCCTTATGTTGCCATGCTACAATAAAAGGGACCGCAAGAGCTTAATCTAGAGACAAAGTGACAACAGAGCTAGACAAAGGCCTCAACTCCCAATTTCACTGGCATTTTAAGAGACTAATTAGACACTTAAATGATTTCCGCTGACCAGCATCTTCCTTCCTCCCCCATCTCCCTGGTAACAGTTTCCTCAAAGCAATGTGTGATGTGACTTCATTGTTTCCAGTATTTCCTTAACTCCCTGCAAGCAGCTAACAATTGAGTATGAGGATGACACCTCCCCGTGTTTCTTTTCCCAGGGGATGCTGGAGGGACTCCTGAGAGACATCATTAGGCCCTCAAAGCCATTGACTTCAGCATCCCAGACAGCAGAGTTAAGCAATATCTCCACCTATTGGCCGTTATGAAGGGGGGGAAATTCCACTCCACTTTTTTGTGAGTGCAGAATAACCCATTGCATTTTGAATGAAAGGCTCAGAAAACTGGTGGTGTTGTATAAATTTCTGAACACTTCAATCCCCGACACTCAGGCTGTTCTGACTGAGACAGCGGCTGTCAAATAAACTGCATTTGCATGAGCCTAAATGCTTGGAGGAACAAAGGAAACTGGTGCTGAAGACCAAGGTTTTTTCACTAAATTTGTGCCAACCCCTCTTAAAGGGTCACGCTGTGGAAATCTTGGGTAGTGTTCTATGTCTGGACTCTGGAAATCTCTTCTTGTTCCTCTTTGGTTGAGCATATTCAGAGCTGACTTTTTGTTAAGCTTTTGGC